GCTCTCCTAAAGCATGCAAAATTGCACATTTGCACAGAAGCTGCAACAGAGCCTGGAGACCATTCACCAGATGCCTGTAAAAGCACGTCGTGCCTACAGTTCATGATCAACCGTCAACTCATTATGGAGCTAAACTTGTACAGCAATACAGTCCCTATTCTCCACCGACTCTGCCTTCTCTCCTTCAACTAGTCACGACACCACTTCTTATTTGTTCCTCAAATCCTTCAGCAGACATTTTTATTCCTTCCCTACCACATCTATTCTGCAATTCTGTATCCTGTCTTGATTGTGGCAAGGATTTCCACCCAGGCTTTCCTCAAACCTCCCTTCTACAGTGTTTCAGAACTGTCCACTGACATCCTTAAAATATGCCTCTTCAGCACGCCATCCATCCTTTCAAAGCTTCCCACTGGTTTCCTATTTTCTGACACAATATTTAAATCGCTCCTTCTCTGCCCTTCACAATGATGTGACTCCTTAAGGAGCTTTTCCTGTATCTGATCACACTGTTCCTTACCACTTCTGCCACAAATATTATGAACTCACTCATTTCTTGGTTTCCTACATATATTTCCATGTTTTATCTACTGAATCCCACACACAAGCAAATTTCATGCTCCTCAAACTGAAGATTATAAACCACCTCTACTCTAAACACTAAACCATAATCCTAAATCAATTTAAGTTTATGATGTAGATCAAAAAGCAGCTAAAACCACTTAACGTTAGAAGAAAGTCCAAGATAAAGTTTCAGTAAGCACAGGAAGTCCCTATTTTATACCATTCCAAATTAAAAAATATAAGGAACTTAATCACATAGACTTTCTCCTTCCCACAATTCTGGAATCTGTATTAACACGATGATAATTCAGACAGCATCATATAAAACTTCACCTTAAACTTATCTTCACAGCCAGCTGTTCAAGAGCTCGCTCTCTTTAGCCATGCTTTTTTCCAAATCCAGTTTACTGCTTCTGGCTATTGGGACACCAGACCAGCTGAACCTGAGAGTCAGCACAACTGAAACTCTGAGCAGAGTCAACACTGGGTAACAGAATAGAGATGTATGGCAAATGATAAATAGTCTTTAATTATGCTGGCAGTTAGGATTCTCATTATTTTCGAAAGTACACAGATAATGCAGTTAGGGAAGAAAACAAATGGAAGGAATAAATATCCAGAGATTATAAAAACAGTAACTAGCACTCACAAGAGGGAAAAATACTGTCAAGTTCTAATGATCATTATGTATTCCAACAAACTTGAGAGGCAAGCATGTCCACAGATACTAACATTGTGCTTCAAAGTTACCAAAAATGAAGACACTGGATTCACAAGTAAGATTATGCTGAGTAAACAGTTGCAAGGGAACAACTTTTCACTCCCTAATACAAACTGCTTTGTAATTTTGAGTTTTGTCAGTGCTTCTTTTAGCCTCTGAAGCTACAATTTGTCTGTCTGTGTTGCTGTCACCTTGTTCAGCAGAAACTATGAAACATGGTGACCTCAAAATGGCACAGAACAAAAGCAAAAAAAATATTCTTGAGTACTGCAAGATGTATTAGTAGATGCTCAGGCTTCAAGGTCTGGCATATTAAAGATACCGTGACAAGAACTTTGCAACACTCAGTTTCAACAATTAGCACTCTGAACATCTTAATCAATTCATGAATCAAGCGCAAAGAGTTTAAATTTATGAATTATTTTTGAGTGGTTCTTTTTCAGAGAGCAAAAGCACTTCCCAAGAGCAAAACTATGGTTCTAAGAAAACTTCCAATTATTGTTTCTTTTCAATAGTAATTTTTTAAGGTTTTCATAATTAATCTGAATTTGAAAAGCCCATACTCTATGAAAGTATTTGAAATACAGGAGGAAATATTCTGAAAAATTAAAAAATCCTCCCTCTTTTTACCTTCTATGTAAACATCTGACCCTTGAAAAGAATTTGTCAAGAAGTCAAAACACATTCATTACCTTTCAAAACATTTTCTCTGGGTACCATGTCAGCCACCAGATATGAATTTTCCCAATGTTTTGCCTAGCTTTAATTAAAGAACAGAAGGATCTTCAGTCCTGAACACGAATCAGTATGCACTAACACAGAAGTTTAAGCCACTGTGGTTTATCCTCTGGAAGCACTTCCATTTGTGTGTGCACTTCAAAAAACTGGAATCCTTACCAGAAATCTAGTACAATTTACTTTCACCTTTCCAAGAGACATAAATCATTATAAAACAATAAGGGGGGAAAAAGTCAAATAGAAAGCAACATTCATTTAAAATATATGAAGATAAACACAGTGAAAATAAACTCTCAGACTTCAGAAAGGTATGGTTGTATATATTTTCATTGAAAATTTGCCACTGTTTTTTCTACAGAGCATGATGTACAAATTTTAGTTAGAACACTAATGTGCTTTTAACCTTGCACTCAGATTTAAAAGATTTATAGAAGCAAGTAATTCAAATGTAAGCTCTAATGAAGTTAAATAGATAAAACTCATATCCAATGAGTTTTAAGGTTTCCCCTAAGCCATGAAGAACTTAAATGAAAAAAGCTATTAAAAAACCACAACTACAAACTCAGCTGAAAAACTTCCCTGGATCACAGAATTGCTGGACCCCTAGACTAGCTCAGCTCTAGGGCAATAAAGCAGTATAAAACTAACAGGCACAAATTCAGACAGTGATAGGATGGTTCAAACTCACACAAAACTTGCACAAAGTTTGAAAGGAAATGCAGTGAAGGAACTAGAGACATGTCAAGCTAACAAGCTTTAATGGGGAAAACATGCAGGACTCACAAACATGCCAGTATTTTCAGTCATGTACTACTTCTACCTGTAAATTATTCTTATGTGTTAGCAACACAAATTTTAATACTACTTTTAGAGTAATTCTAGGGTGGAAGCAGGTGAGGAAACAATATGCAGCTTCAATATTCCTTTGCAAGGTTTCACTTTGTTACATTTTGCTACATAGCTAATATACTGTCTTTTTATCTGAAGTTGGACCCAAAGTTTTAATATTGCCAAATTCCCCTGTCTTACCATGGTATAAATTTAAGGTAACGTGACTGAAACTGGATGTGATGAGGTGAAAGACTGTGCAGTAATAGCTCTAGCTTGGTGACTCTGTAGTGTATGATATGGAAAAGAAAATAAATTCAGATTATCGAGTTTTCTGCAACCCACAGCTGTGACCAAAAGACACTATAGTATGGGCATACTCAAAGAGATTCAAATGCATGAATGCATACAGTGCAGAAAATCAACAGAATATAACCAACTGACTTTGGTATTCACTGAGGCTATACACAGCTACCATCAGTCAAGGGAAGAACTGTAGGAGTTGCGCACATCTGGTCTTCCATCATGAGATTTGGAGGATTTGTTGCAAAGGACCGCAACCATTGCAGTTCGGTCTTCCTAGAAACCCTCCAAAAAAAGATTCACTAGGCTATTTTGCCCTGACCTATCACAGCCATTAAGTACAGGAGATCTTAATGCACTCCTATACCAGGATTTGGAAGCACACTCTAAACTAACACCTGAAGAAGTCATGGTCTTGCATTCTCTCCCACAATGCTGCTTCCAGCCCCCGGCAGCATATTTCACTGGCAACTCAGCAGAACACAGGCTACATCCCGTGAAAGCAGCAACTCCGCATGGAGCCGTTTGCCTTCACAGGTCTTTCTCATAACGGCGTTATTGCAATGTTGCCACTGGATTGTGCAATTTTACTCTATGTTTTATTTTCTCCAAATCCTGAAAGGACTCATTTGCTCATAATTTAACACATACTTTAAATATACAGAGAAATAACAACATCTCTAAAGCATCAGGAACAGATATACAAGAATAGAGACAGAGTTTAACAGTCCAACAAACTAAGAAATGCAACTGAACTGTCAAATGGTATATCATAACTACGTGAGAAATTTAAAATATCCTCTTCATGAAACAAGGTTGGTTCAATACCATTTTATTTGCTTTTTAAAATGTTTTTTTTTTTTTTTAAAAAAAAACCAAATCTATGGGTACAATTTCTTAAGCATTCAAATGTGAAACTGCTGCCATTATTGCCAAGATATTTTGTTATGGAAACTATAAGCTTGTAGCAGTTTACCAGCATTTGATTAAAAGCATTTGTGGTGAATGTGAGAAACCAGAATTAGTCTTAGGACACTGAAACATACTGAAAAACCTATGGTTATTCTTTAGAGGTGATGCAAGATGATTTAACAATATTGACTAGCTCAGCACAGAGAAAATAAAATCTGAGTTTAATCCTGTAGCTAATCCTGTTTTTTAGGGAAGCTGTTATCCAATCCCTCAAATACATCAATATTTTTTCCTTTTTGGGGGGTGGGTGTTTTTCTTTAATAAACTGCTGCTTGTTAAAAGATTGATGGTTATGCAGATTTAGTGCATTGCAAATTCATTAAACTCAGCTGCTGGCTGAAGTAAACATCTAATCTTCCTACAATGCTTAATCCTTACACAAGCATAACTACTGAAAGACTCATTGCAATGAGCAATTTTCAGAGCAATGCATAAGTGTTTTCCAAACAAGTCTAATTATTCATATATATTATTCAACAAAACCTGAACCGTATCACTACATACCAATTAAGCAAAAATCTTACTTCAATTAGTATGTTGCATAGGTGATATATATGTATACACTTATGAAACACGTGTATTTATATACATACACACATTTTTTTAAACATGCATACATCTAAACCACCTAATTTATTAGTAAGGGATGAAAATTGATCCATATATAATGTGTCAAACACATACTTGTTATAAATTCAATCCTGATTCAAACCTATAACCCTAAAATGTTCTAATCTTCTAACATGTACAGAAAATGTTTCATCACTGCCTTCTTAAGGGAAAAAAACAAAAGCATCTATCAATAACACAGATGTAAAAAAAAAATAATCAAAAGAAGTACACACAAATTGGTTAATTTTCTTTCCTACATTACCTGATCGTGGCTTCAGGCCAAAAGGGATCGTGGTATTTGTAGTAGGAGACATTGTTGGGCTTTTATCCTTGTTCTGTGTAATTCAAGAACATAAATCTAAGTAAGAGTAACATCTAGAATATCTCAGCACAACAGACTGTATAACATGTAGAAGTTAACACTACCACTATCCCACCACAATCTTATCACAATATAGCCTCAAACCTACGATAGTCTCACTTTTTTATTCCGTCCTATTCCTTTGCTGGAAAAGATGAGTTTCTGACCAAAGACTGCAAGATATTCCCCTTAGCTATAAACAAGCTCAATTATTCCTCAGTTTTCTCCCATGTAATCACTTGGTTCTATCAAACATACATTTTTTTGTGGCATAGAACATCTAGAAAAACAAAGCAAAGACCCTTTTTTTCCTTAGATATGCCTGTTTCTTTCATTGAATCAATTACCACTGTGCATGGTATTTTCCATGCAACACTAAATTTCTGCTTAAAAAGCTGAAAAGAGGAAGTTAAGCATACACCTCAGAGCAGGACAGCCCTTGACCCTGGGCTAGGCTAAGAGTTGCAGCAGGAAGAATGAAGTAGCAGCATACAGGAGAAGGTGAGGTGTAATCATCATACCATCAGTGGTAACATAGAAAGAGTCTGATAACCAGACTCCATAATGAGAATCCTGTTTATAAAAAGTGATTCCGCAGGGAGCCAGGAACTACAGAAGTCCCATCACCAAGACTGGTGGAAGGTGGCTGGGCACTCATGAATTGCAAGATGCTCATACACAGCACAACGTAGAGGCAGAAGCTCTGTTTCTGCACAGAAAATATGAAGGGGGAAAAAAAAGTCTCCACAAGGAGCTCCCTACAGATTCCCTTTCTGACTTTCTGCTGACATTTGCACTGCGAAAGTGATAGGATCAATAAAATCAGACTCCTCTCTGAAAACTAATCACTGACATGACACAACTGTGCAAAAAGAAATTGCACTGAAATCAACAGAAACTCTTGTGAAGCAAGGAAAAATCAAAAAAGAAAATGTGGCAGAATGAACAAAATGTAAACAAAATTAAATGTTTTATACTAAAGTACATAACTCAGAAACAAGCTTATCAGAGAGAATATTTTTATACCCCAGTAAATGCTTAAGACAACAAGAATAAACCACAGGCCAAATAAACTACATAGCCATTATTTTCTGTGATATTCAATTACATGTTTCATTTAGTATATGAATCATTCATATAAAACATACGAGAGACAAACAAATGGCACTAGCATCTTACCTCACTGTGAGAGGTTTGCCCACTTGTATTCCAAACAATTAGATCATTCTGTGCGTTTGGGGAAGGGAAAAAAAAAAAAAAAGACCATTTCAGCAACTAAAGTAGTGATACACCACAACAGGATATTTTACTCATGATATTCAGATACACAATAACACTTAATTCTCTTTTTCACTGAAACAATTAATTTTCATGAATAATAAGTACTTTTAATGCTAGTTGAACAACATTTAAAAACTTGTGGAAATTATTCGCACAGATTTGTCATTCAGGTTTTAATTTCAATCCTAAGTGATTATAACTGCATTTATAAGATTTTAATGTGTGCTGCTTCAAATGCAGTATCCAATTTAGTATAATTACAAAATCTGTACAACAATCCCCAAGAGTTTAATATGCTAATATAGATTTTTAATAAAGATTTGGAGAGAAGTATTCTGTAGGCAATTAATTTTGTAGTTGCAGTATAACATACCTTTTGTTACCACTTATGCTACAGTTATATTTGGAACATGTAAATCACTAATAAATATGAAATGAAATCATTAATTCTGCAACAATCTAACTCAGCAGAAACACAGCTGGCAGAAGTAAAAACAAATTGTAATTAAATTCAAAATAATTTCCTTTGGGCCAGTTTTTTTTTATCAATAAAAAAATGGAAACAAAAATAAAAGATGGTCCCAACAATCACAGAGCTTTCTAAAAGTTAGCAAGATATGAAGGAAGATTACACACCCATTCTGCTTCATGACCTTTCTTGGCTACTTTTCAAGCTTAAAAAAAAATGCGTCATCTTTAAACATCTTTCATAACATTAGTATTATTATTTCACAACATTATCTCAACCATTGTCTTAACCTATAATAAACAGAAAGAAACCTTTTGCATCTGATCCCAGCCAGCTCTGCCTGGGACTCGCACACTTGAGCACTCCTGTGCTCAGGGACTAAGTTCTTGTGACTGACCTGCTACTTATGCCTACATTACAGGTCTAATCTCCCTTACAGCATGCAAGTCACTAGTCAGAGTTTTGAATTTATGCTAAATGGAATTAATTTAGTTACACAAGTAGTAACACAAGTGCTTACTGTACTACACAGAATGCAGCAGGATTAAAAACTTGCTCTCACAAGATGTGTTCCCATTTCATGGAACTTGCCTAGTGCTTTCACCTGCATAACACAGTTCAGATCAGGCCCTCTGCAAGCGTTCAGGGAGATTTATTTCTTCTTTTTAAAAGGTTCTTAAAAGTGAATCAGCAGTGTCCCTGTTGAACAGTTCATCAAAATACAGAGACCACACACAATGTGACACTGAGTTAGCCTTATCTGTTAATCTCAGCAATTTAGTAAGAACTGTTCCAAATAAAGTGTGGTAACCCCAACGTACAACAATATAACAAAAGGGATGAACCAACTTGATTTTTTTTTTTTGAATTTGACATTTTAAAGAAAAAACAAAGACAAAATTAAGACTAACAAAGTTACAAGGATATCATAGGAATATTTGACGGTAATCATGATTATACATATGAATATTTGAAAAGTATCAAGATAAACCAGATTCAATCTGTGTCTGGGTAAGACAGACCATGTTAAGGTACTACCAATATAGACAGAGCATTATGTATTTTTTGCTCAGAATCCTTGTGCAAGAGCAGTCACAAAAATCTCCGAAGTAATAACATATGCACCAAATATTTAAGATTTTTTCGTAGTTCTTCATTTCTGGATCATTGCAATGTACATGAAACTTAAAATATTTTTGATACTTTAAAACTATCATCTCAACCTCTATACAGTCTGTTTGTAATACTAAACACATTAAAAATACTACTGTTAACAAAAACTTAGCAGCTTATAGAACTACAAGAGTATTTGGGGTGAGTGGGAAGAGGAATCAGGTGTTTCATTTTATTGACAATCTAACTTTGAGGCAACTTATTTTTTCCAGGGGAATGCAACCACTGCAACTACTATAGTGTTTATTTTATTAATTTCATTATATCAGTTTTTTTCCTGTGAGATAGGTCTTAATCAACTTCCCATTTACAGCCAAACCTTGAGATTCATGCTAAGGCAAAAAAAAAAAAAAAAAAGACAGACCAACAAGTCTAACCCCTCTATTATCTCCATACACAAATTGACAGAATGCAATGCTCCATTCCAAATCTTTCCACACTTATTGCATCTAGACACCTCCATACCTGACTCAATGACCATTTTTCACCCTGTTCACAAGCTCTCACTTCAGGCTTTGCTTTCTCCATAATCAACTCCCTCCTTCTCTGAAATTCTAGATCCTCTTCAGCATTTTCTCTCTGTAAAAATAAGTCTTTAGACTGCATCACTGGAAACAGAACTGTATATTTTTTGCATAACACTACCTCAGAAGTATTTGTTACAAATACTGTGATGAAAAGTGAACAATAAGTAAGCAGATACTATATACTTGCAGTTCCACTGCTAACAGGAAGATAATGTGAACCTAAACCAAGCACGTCACAAAGAATACCAGTTCACCAGTCAGGATACAGATCAAATAATAAGCAGCATATACGACACTGTAAATCTCAAAATCCTACATTATATACTCTCTGTAACTATAGTGACAGTGCTCTGCAAAAACATTAATTTTGAGTATACAAAATATTTTTGGGTTATCTTTCATGAATGTACTGTTTTCCTACACCAGAACAGGGAGGTGGGGGGTGGGATGGTAAACAATTATGCATAGCTGAGCTATGAACTGGCATACATGAAAGCCACATACGGGATAAAAAAACTAAGATGAAAAAGTAATTGATAAACCCAGAAAAAAATTTTGTATACACATGTAAAAAAATAAAAACAATAAAAATGTTAAAGAAATAGTTTTGTCCTCCAACCTACTAATTTTTTCCCTTGGTAGATGGTAGATGAATAATTGGATGGTAGATGAATAACTGAATTATCATGGTAGATGAATAATCGGCTCATTTCCTGCCTTTCCCCCCCCAAATATTTTGTAATAATACACTCATTAACGTACCTGACCAAGGGAAGACATCTCCATCTGCATTTGACCACTATGTATAAACAAAGGCAAATATGTAATTCATTGCATAGAAACTTGAATATGATAAATCTAACAAATACTTTTTTTTTTCTGAAAAAGGTAGATAAACACACTTTACTGTAGTCTCCTGAAATTCTAAAGCTGTTGCTGGATCCATGGGATACAGATTCACACCACTGCTCTCTGAAATACCCATGCTTAATCTACAAGGTTTGAAATAAAAACATTGCACTGGGGTAGCCATTCTGTTCAGTATTTAATTTCAAACAAAGGGATATATGAAATACTTTTATGTATTTAGTCATGGTTCTAACCTGCTCGCTTTTATCTCTTAACAACTTTTTGAAATGCCTCCTGAGGCTTCACTATCACCAGTTCAAAGCAATGTTAATGCTTTCCTCTACAAAATGTCACCTTGAGCAATGACTTGTATCAAAACAAAAGGACCTGTTTACTACCAACACCCATGCCATGATCTAGAAGACTGTAGATTTCTACATCCAACTTCTAGCACCCTGGGTTCAAACAGAAGTTACAGTTCTGGTTAAATATTCAAATTTAATTTACAGTGGATGAAAATAAAGCAGTGCAATAATAAATTTACAACAGACAATGATCTGAAAGGAAACAGTGAAAGGGAATATAGGAATCTGAAACAAACATCTGAAAATACTGAAAAAGGTTAAGTCTGAAATCTTTTTCCTTTCCAGAACTGAAATGCTGCTTATGTGCATATAGGGCATGCAGATTTGAAACTCTGTGACAAACTGGACAAGCATTTTACAAGTTTAATAGTCACAGCCATTAGCAAAAATAGCTCCAGTTGATACGCTCTACACTGAACTCTAGTCAGTGCACGTTAGGTGCGTCAGCGTCACCTACAATGTTGAGAAACCCATGGCCCAGAGGGCTGAAAGTCTACAGCATCATTTGGCAAGTATTAGGCACCCAGGTGTATCTTACTGTAGGTTAACAAACAGGAGACATGCATTGAGAAGCTTATATAGTGCTCAGTAAATTAAAAATAAACACTCATATTTTAAGGTTAGAAAAAGAAAGTGCAGCCAAAAAACCCCCAAACCAACATTATATAAAAAAACAGTAGAAAAATAAAGACATGCGTGACAAGATTAGCAATTTTTAAAAGCCACGTTTCAAATTTACCATAGTGTTACTAATGAAAGTACATCTGAATATGCATGGAGAAACAGATTAAGTTTCTATATTTTATTGCCCTTTTTAATACGAAAAACTAAATAAGTAGGAAATACTGGGGCAATATTTGACAAAAACCAAAATGACAAAATTTATAAGGCTAACAATGGAAATTTTTTTGACGTTGCTTTTTTCCAAACAACACTTTTTCCTTTTTTAATTGCAACACTTCTCCCACAAAGTAATAAGCCTCATATGAGGTGCAGAAGCAATGGTATACTACCTCACAGAAACCATAGGAACTAAAAAGCTTTCCTAATTTATTTGACTTTTTATTAAGCAAAAATCTTGTGATTCAAGTACTTAGTATATGATTCAAGAATTCAAGTAATTTTTATATGATTCAAAATAAAGACAGATAATTTTCCCTCTAGAAATACTAGCAGGAGTGACTTTCTGTCCTAAAAAGTACGAAGGCTTGCTAGGTGAAAAAGCAGTAAGAGAATAGGCATTTAATCTAAAGAAGAGCGTAGTTGCAAGAACAAACAGCTACAGCGAACTGGCCAAGAGAGGAAGGAAAAACAAGGATACTTTAAGCTGGAAGTGACAAAGAGGTTTCCAGTCTTCAGAGGAATTAAGCTTTGGACCAGCTACCTCATAAAAGTAATGAAAAAAAGTGAGTTACCTAGTTTTGAAATGAACTTGATTTCTGAAGGTGACTGCACAAAGAAAAGCAATAGCAAGCATCTGAACAGAACTGCCTACATCACTCCTGTCAGTCCTTTTCAGTAGGACAAGCTTTCAATTTCTTTTAAATACTTACTCCTTTGTTTATTCACAGACCCAGAGTCATTCCACCTGACTTCAGCCACTTAAAACAGGCACCTAAGGTGTAAAATGTTGCCTTCTGTAGTCAGAAGAAATCTAAGTAACTTTCTCCAGATGCCTCTTGCTCTTTCTCCTTTCTGATTTCAGAGGGAGACTACAGAAACTTCACCACTGATTCAGGTCTTCTTTATGTGCTCTGTTGAGGTGGGGTGAAGCTGGGCGAGAAGACCTTCTCCAATCCCCACAAGTATTAGTAAGTAGAGGAGAGTTTATAGTGCCTAGAAGAAATGTGACTATCCTAGGCAAAACTTCAGAAAATCACAGTATTGAAACAAGATAAATGGTTAAGAGGCATCTCCACCTCTAAATTTAGGTTTCTTTTAAACCTGAAATCTTTCTTAATCTACTGGGAATCTTGTCTAGGTACTCAGAGACTGAGAATGAAAGTTTTCTTCTTAACTATCTAAGTGCCTCCTGAAAAACATCAGTATGCTAACAATGCACCTCACAACTCCAGAGAACTTTCAACGATCAGTTAAGAACTCCAAGGCCATTCACAAAAATTTTAAATACATTACATTAAGACACCAACTATTGTAAGCATACCTGTTGGGATCTTGTAATAAATCTACTGCTTCTCTGAGTTGTTCTATCATTGCTATATCAATAGTTTGTTCTTCTGATAAATTCATTCTATAATAGAAAACAAAAACATTCAAAAAATAGGTACAACAGCAATTATCAAGGATAGTCTGAATTTCAAATTGTGAGCTATATCTTCCAACTGGCACGGACGGGGAATAGACAGAGGCAGAATATATATGATAAATATATATATATACACACACACATATAAAAATATGTATTATATATATGTTATATATATAAAAATATAACAGGGGGGGAAAACAACAGCCTATGTGCACAGTAGTATGTGCTGAATTTATGGAGTTTCTTCTGAAAAAATTTTCCAGCACTTTGTCCTTAACAAAGCTCCCCCAACTCAACACAAACATAAACAAATGTGATAAACTAAAATTCTTAGCATTTCAATAAAACAAACTGACTTCTAAAATTCAAAATTTATTTAGCAATATCTGACTCATTAACTGCACTCATCTCACATATTGTTTTAAGTACTAAATACAATTATTCTTTTAATGGACCAGCATCCTTTCTTTTGCTTTTCAATATTTGCAATTCTTTTTGTGGTTTGGAAACACAATCACCTGTTAGTTCTGCCAATAAGACTCTTTCAGAAAGTACTTGTTCTTCCCTTCCTTCAGTTTTTCTTTTTAAATCATATAGGACGCCACTGTTCTGCTTAGTGACAACTTCACAGTACACTGTCATGCTAAATCCCCTTCTTATGCACTCTCCTCAGCAACTGATGTTCACTTGCTCTGCTCTTGAATTAACGTCTATGAATTAATGATTGCTTCAGGGTTAAAATTATGACAAAAGAAGAAAAATGACTGTGGGATTTTTTCCAATTAAATTACATTTTTAAAAATGTATATTAAATTTAGATCTTAAGTTTTTGGTAAAATCATTTTTACCAATACCATTAATGGACTGAATATCAAAATACCCAGATAAAAAGCTTGCATTCTAGCTAGGTAAAAATATTACAGCATTATTGGTGCATAAAAATTAATTAGGTGTAATATAACATCCACTCTATTCGGCAACGTGTAAAACATTGAGCACACACAAAGTGCAAGGCTGTGCTTCCGCCATGCCTCCAAGTCTACAAAATTATTAACTGATAAGGAAATGCCAGTTCTGCTCAATCTAATTAAATGACACAGCTATTTATTTATAGATACATAAAAAAATACTTACATTTCGTCTGTTTGCCATTGTGTGTCCTCTTCTATTCTCAATAGTTCATCACACTCTGCTGCTCTGCTCTGTAAGCAGACCAAGTAATATTGAGAACTGAACTTTACTATTAAGTAGGCAGATAAATTGCGCTTTCAGACTCAGCGCTGACCTAATTTATGTAACAATTTAGGGTGGCTAGTTGAAGCAATCCAACACTTCTGCTCCACTCCTCACTCTACCCCCTTTTAAGATACTGATTACAAGATCTATTCACTGCTCAGATTTTATTGAGGTCAACAGCCCTTACCCTCCTTTAGCTGTAAAAAGAAAGTTAAGCAGCATGAGAATTCTTTATTCTAAACGTCCCAGATTTCAGTTGTCCCTTTCTGGTATATGCAAACAACGCTTCAGTTAAGCATGACCCTAACTCTCCTCTTACTTGCTCTTGTCCCACAGGCAGATTTGTTTACAGAGCAGGGAAATTCCAAATACGCAAACAGTGCACAAGCTTCTTGACAATTTTAACAGCCATGAATAATTAAAAAAAAAAAAAAAGTCAGAAAAAAACCTCTGTGTAACAATTCATATCAGTCAGCCAGTTATTTTGGGTTCGATGTAGGCATAAATTAGAGCCCCCGCTGTCCTACCTACTTATTAGAAAATGTGACTCTCTCTTTTATGCTTCCATGTGGTGCTTTGCAATTTTCTTTTCTCTTTCATCTCAGGCAGGAACACTGAAGTAGTTAGCTGCCAGTAAAGACAGAAGCTCTCTGAATGGATGTGCGTTTGTACTAGTAGAGAACGAACAGCAGAAAACAGAGAGGCTTATCCTCTTTTGTGTCATGTGTTTGGCACATCAGTAGCATCACCCTGTACCAATAAATAAATGCTATCCAACTCTGCCAGATGTGTCACTGAAGAGTGTACCAGCTTCTCTAACATTCCCCAAAGATGGCCCATTCCCCAGTAAAAAGAACAAAGCCCTTCTTTTCTTTTTCTTATCCTTACGGGAATGAAGTACGGTATTTTTTCCCGTAAGAAGGGTATATATCATAAGACGACAAAAATGCAGCACTTCTTTTAGAAGGTAACACTCAGTCTCTGGGCAAACTTACACAGATAAGATGAAGTCATATAAATTAGGACTAACATTTGAAAAATTACAAAATCCTCCAAGGCTAAGCTCCTCTTTTGCACTGCAAGTAATACTGATTTTAGGTATGGTTTGGTTAACCAGAATTTCAATTTTAGAAGGCTGTCCCAAAAGGCATTCTAGTACATGACTAAATGTAAACCAAAGAACAAAACAGACTCAGAAATGTGCACAAGAAGGAAAATGCCCTGAGTTCAAAATCCTCAGAATAAAATGGGTATACTACCCCTTCAAATCACCAACTGCTGATCTCAACTGCCATAATGTTAAGAAGATACCAAAATTAAAAGAAATAAAACTGCTTACTCCGGCAATATTCTTATACTGAAATTCAATACAGTAGCCTATATTTTACTGAACCAGTGCCTGCAACACATTATTTCAAATATTATCATCTTATTACAATAGAGGACATTCCCAAGGGAAGAGTCTTCAAATGGTACACTACTGAAAATCAAGATAGAATCATAGGATCATAGAATCGTTTAGGTTGGAAAAGACCTTTAAGATCATCAAATCCAACCGTTACCCTACCCCTGCCATCCCACCACTAAACCATGGCCCTAAGCACCTCATCCTCCCATCTTTTAAATACCTCCAGGGATGGGGACTCTACCACTTCCCTGGGCAGCCCATTCCAATGCTTGACAGCCCTTTCTGCGAAGAAAGTTTTCCTAATGTCTAAAAGATGATGAAGTGAGAACAACAAGGAAAGGAAATACAAAGTATATACATAATATAATGTACAGTCAGCTTCAGATGCTTCAGATCCCCAATAGGGGGAGGATGAAAGTATCCTAACCTCTTTTACCTAGTTCATTCACCTCAAAAATGTGTGCACTTGCTGAAAATTTGTATGCAGAAAACCTACGATCATTTGTTAACATTTTCACTATCTAAAAATAAGAAATTTTTAGTATAAAGGTCACAAAAGAACAAGCCAATATAAGATAGCCTGTAGTGTCCTAAACATCCGGCAACTATAAATAAGTCTTCCTAATAAACAATCAATTTTTTGACAATTCACTATTGGCTTTTTAAACACTACTGAATTCATATTTGTATTTTTAAGTAACAAAGAATAATAAACATGTATTTACTATGTAAATAAAGCTTTCTGATAACTACATGTCTTCAGTAGCTATGAAAGGAAAAAGGGTTTTTTTCCCCTTTGTTTTTAAATGCTAGTCCTGTGTGACTGCCACCTCAGAGACTCTGCAACTAGCTGAAGAAGATCTGCAAGAGTTTTATTACTAGAAAAAACAAAAAGGTTGCTCAAATAAAAGAGATCTTTTCCAGAAGTCTGCTTCCAAGAAGCTGAAAGGTCACATCTTTTCTTTTTCCACTATTACTTCCCAGCACATTTTTTCCTATAAGCGATGGAAGTGATGCAATGCCTCTTCCCACCCCTTAAGAATCTCCACAGAAGGAGAAAATTAGTCTAAAAAGATCCATACTAGAAAACCCTTCTGGCCTCTAAATCAAGAGGAGACATCGCATCCACAAGAATGCTACAAAATACTACTATTTCTCAAATATCTTTGCATTACAAAGGATCTAGCAAAAGTATCCAGTAAATATATTTTCATAGAAAAAAAAAAAAACCCTCTTGATCAAAATTTCTCTAGAATCTTTCAAAAAACTCCTCAGTCTACCTAACTACACTTAATTTATAAATTCATCAGGCAGTTCTTGCAAGTGAATTTCATGAGTTGCCACCCAACAGCAGTACATTTCTATGGATTCTATTGCAGCTTTCTCAGATGCGTATGTCTAGACATATACCACTAAACCTAATGCCACAAATGGGGGAAAAAAAAAAGTAAACAACAATACAAATGGGGAAAACAGAAATTGAAACAGACAAAAAGGCACAACAGAACAATTTCTAATAGGTCATTCATTGTGAAAAACAGTTCAAAAAGAAAGCACATTTGATAGCTCCCTGAAAAGAAGCCACATGCCAGGAAGATGCCACACAACTCATGAGCAAGTACTCATTAACCATGACAGAAAGACAAGACTAATACTTGTAAATGGATTAAGCAACTACCTATGACACGTGTAACAAGTAACCCAGAGCACCAGTATTCAGTAATGAACATCTTAAGGAAACTAAAGTGGCACCCAGACCTTTACATACAAAAAAGACTAATGGGTATAATCTCAAAGTTTCTTACTGTGGATAGCCTGTGTTTTCTTACATACTTCGTTATATACACACACATACATGTTTTGTTATACACACAAATATACACACAACTATTCAAATGCGCTTTCCTATCACCTATTGCATCTACAAAGTTCATAACAGAGCCAGCATATACTCCCAAAATCCATCAAGTTGCCAAATCTTGTAATAGGTAGGTTCCTAGAATAATACATTTTATTTCAGATTTGATATAATTTGTCTTTAAAGATCTCTCAATTTCTGATATAATTTTAAAACATTTAAGAAAACGTATTTTAATACTGCAACATTACTTTGTAACTTTAGTCACCACAGCCAACTCTGAAAGACTTGCATTTTACTGATGTAACAAATGCAAAAGTTTTTCAATTTAAAATATAAAGTAGTACAGAACACTTTTGTCACTTTTTCTTAAAGACTTAAACATAGTTAAAGGATAACTCTCACATATACTAGAAAAAAAGTTATGGGTAAATTTAGCTCCTAGATTAATTATAATCACTTTAAACTTACCTGCTTATTTTTGCCTTCTGTATTTTTTATGACAATGAATAGCAGTTGTGGTTTCTGTTATACTTACAGTAGTAGTGAAAATATTTCCCCCCATTTTAAACTATCACATACTTGCCTTAATGTAACTCATAAATTCAGTAGTAAGAGTATCTGATTCATCAAACTGGTTTCCTGTTTCTCTTGACTTATCATTGACAATCAAGTGAGAAGATGACTGATGGAATCCCACTAATAACAACAATAAAAAAAGATAGAAGAATGATTTATGGTTCAGCTCAACATTTGTTACCCAACACAATTTAAGTGTATTAAATTATAGAGCTCAAAACCAAGCAAAGTTTAAATTCAAAGCATATTAAAAGACTCAAACAATTGAAGACTTCTGCATTCTAAGGAGTGATGCCAATTAATTTGAAAGTTGTAATAAATAAATTAATACCTTGGGCTCATACAGTTGTAGATCACAAGCACCACAACAGGCATTGATGGAGTCAGTTTTGGACTACACCAAACACATCTTGCTGGTGCCAGTACAAGGACATGGTTGGACAGCTAGAGCGCATTTTACGACATTCAGATGTCTCAGCCAGTGACTTGCAGTTTAATGTAACTTCAGAGTTATCATAGCATAACACAAACTCGAACTCTCAAGCAGAGCTCAAACCAAATGATTCAGAGCCTACGCCAATCTCTTGCTTACATATACTACTTCCAAGGGTATGAGGCAGTAATAATTTTCTCCTCTGCTTGAAGTGGTCTGATCCTATAACTTACCCTCTCCACTGTGCCAATAAACACTGTAGTAAAAGCATTACATCCCACATATCTCATTTAGTATTCTAGTAAATTTTTATGCGTATCTCAATTGAAGTTCATTTTATCTAGTAGGTAACACTGGGGAAAGGCTGATTTTCTATTTATGTGGTATACGTAGCCAACTACCCGATTTCATCCTCCCGTTTATCACTAGCATGTGCAGACCTTGGAGAAACACTGTTTATCAGTATGTAGATATAATTTAGAAAAATGTTAAGTTACTCTAATCAAATTTAGGTAAAGTTACACCTTCTCTCAAAATCTGAAGAGATTTATTTCTTTCCAGGGGAAATGCTGACTTTGAGTAATAAAGCTTTATATATGCATTAAGTCCAACTACAGAAATGTAGCTGTACAAAATGCTTTTGTACAAGATTGATTTTTGTTGGGCTGCAATTTTTGCAAACTGAATTTAGTTTTAAACATAGATTTATCCTCAGAATTTCCCCATATTTAACTTCCACTTTTTTACATGCCAACCTTTTCTTGAGTTAGCATGGTGACCTGAATCTTCCTTTACGACCTGATCTTCTTCCACGATGTCTGACATTGGAACGTTAAAGCTGATAGTATCTTCATCAGACGGCTAAGAAGAAATAAGAGAAACATTTGTTTCAGCTCAAACCAAGACTGATAAAAATGCTTGTATTAAGAAAAGTGCTCACTAAAGAGAGGCAAACTAATATAGAGAGGATACCAGAGATTCTAGCATGACCAAATCCTGCTGTAGGAAGCTGTAGTCATGCTGAATACATCCTCACAGAAGGCTCGTCAAGCATCTCAATTAATCTGTTGTCTTTTCCTATCTTCCTCACTGCACTAGTCCTCTCCTTGCAGCAACACCGTTGCACTGTGCTGCTCTCTGCATGCCTTCCTGGGACAGCTGAAAATAGGGGCTCCTTGTAGTCATCAAAGCCTGTAGAAAAACTGAGCCTCGTATCACAGTCCTTTTTTCTTTCTCTCCAAGACTCTTCTCCCCTGCATTACCATGCAGCTTGTTAATTTAATGCCTAAAGCAAGCAAGATGAGCTTTGCAGGCTGAAGCAGTATCTTCCATTGGATTAACTGGTAGAGTTGAAAAAAGGCATAAACTCTCAAGTACACTATCTTTTCTTCATTGGCTTCAAAGCTCATCCATTTTTTTTCAGCTTTATTAGCTGGTACACTAAAACACATTACTTGTATCTACAAGCTTATCCCGTCTATGACTTTGCAGACAGTGGCTACGCAAAGTAGTGCTGGCACACTAGCCTTCACTTCTGACCCATGCCACTAGGGCTCTGCCGTTCTGTAGGACTGGCAGCAACCTGCTCACAGTGGGACCTGCTCACATTCTCCCCTGAGGTGAACTACAGCAAACTCCAGATCCTTTAAGAATGTATTTTTTAAGGAAATGGTATTTCTCTGTTTATCAGTTCAGCCCATTGTAACAGAAGATCTACAATGGAATGGGAGATTATTACAACTAGTTATTCAGTTCCATAGTTGCTAGGTTCCAGTACAATTATGCTATTTGTGCTGCCTTCAGGTGTTCATATTCCATCCAGAAAACAGCTGCGTTTTTTTAAAATCCTGAAGCTAAGGTTCGTGACAAGGAATAGAGAAAAACTGCTTTGCTCTTAAAAAACTGTATCAAAGATACACGTGGTTATTCCTATTTGCCAAGAATACCCTGGACATAACACATTCTGTAAAAGTGGACCACCATAAATATGCTTCTTTATGAATAAGACATATGTTATTAACTCTATGAATTTGCTGGTTATATTCTTCTGCTGAAAGAGAAAAAAATTCAAAAGGATATTCAGGGCCTTGATAAAGCCTTATCAAAATGACAAAGCTTTATAATGAAGTGAACTAACACTGTAGCATCATTCCCGTTTGTCGATTTTTAAAATAAATTTTATAATAGGTTTTACTTTAAAACAAAACAAATTAGTATCTCAAACAGAAAATAAACAAACTACACTCTAAGTAGTCTAAGCACAAAATTCACTAGTTCTTTTAGACCTGAAACAATGACAATCCAACAGCTAAAAAAAAAAAAACAACAACCAAATGAAAAAAAAACAAACAACAACAACAACAAAAAAAGACATGCACAATATAAATTCATTCAGACAACCAAGGTTACAGTGAAGTTCCTTCTCTTTCTTTCAGGTTGTATCTCATGTGACATTTAAACACGAAATTAGTTATCCTAGTTCAAAGATCCATGTTTTGTTAATTTTGCAACTATCATTTGAAAATTTTACAGTAAAATGTTCTTATATGCATTATTACAAGTTCTGAACACTAAAACAGGCAAGATTTTTTTTCTCAGCAGAGTAACACACATAGCTTTTAGGAAAATATTTTGGAGTGTTGGTATAAAAAAATCCACGAGCGCTTCAATTTGGAAACAGAAAATCATTCCTTTAACAGGCTATGTCTCACTTTCAGGGTCTACAGAATTCTGCAATTGATTGTCCAGGTGTTTCCTGCCAGTATACTATGAAATAGAAACTATCCAAAGCAGCTTGCAATAATACAAAAGTATTGCTCCTTCAAAGGTGAAATACTGTGTCTCACTTCCTTCATTCGCAGTTTTATTTTCATTCAGCTGGCAACAGAAGATGACAATAGACATATAAGAATCAAAAATACCTAACATTATTCCAACACCTAATTCAGATGATGCACTGTGAAAGAATCTTCATATACATTCTTGCTGGTACTAATGTGTCACTTATGAGTATTAAAGCAGGGACACCAGCTGGATCTTAAGAAGTACCCCGTTGTTTTAATGAATTTTAACTAAGGAAAAAATAAAGCCAAAGGGAGGTAGAAAATGAATGAAAATGCTACGCTGTTCCTAAAAGATGATGTACAGGAGTGCACTACCTTAAAGCAGAATTTGCTTTCTTGCACAAGTCTCCTGTGTACACAGGTATTAAAGGTCGCCTCAGAAGGAAAAGTGAGTGGTGAATTTACTTCCAAATACATTTGGGATTACTGATCTCAACATATATTTTCTCCTTAATAGCAGAGCAGTAGTCAGGCAGGGATGGAATGAGTAAACAGTTCTCATAAAAAGCCTTTGGGCTAATAAAAACATATTGGTTCACTGTTGGTTGTCTTTAAAACAATTTTTTGCAGCATTCCCATTGCTACATTTTGATTACAGGAAAGATGATCTATTTTCTAAAGGTGTTATTTATAGCTAAAGAGGAAATTCCGGAATAACAGTTTCATTAACAAGCTAACTCAGCTTCAGGAAGCTTAAGAATGGCAAAACAGTTTGTAAGCGTCTCTGAATGGACTGCATGCTCTTACAACTAGAGGGAAACCATCAGAAGTCTGGCTAGAAATCACAGTTATTCTGCTTCATTTCCATCTAGCAAGAAACTTGCCCAAATACTTGGAAATCCTTGTGGGGATTTTTTAAGTGCTTTTGTATTTAAAAGACCAATCAGTGTATAAGCGGATTCATTTTCAATTTGCTTTTTAGTAACTACAAATTCAGTACCTAAGCTTGATTCTTTATACATTTGTTTCAAAAGCAACAGAATCTCTTTTCCTCAAAAGAGGAGAGAAACACTAAAGAATCAGTGTAAAATTATTTTAAAATAGCAAAAAGCCCATTCTTTTATTGTGACCTGAATATCTCCCATCAGGTCAGATCACAAATCCCATTATTTGTATATTTCAGAAAAACCACCAGTGAATTATATTGCAAATTATTTACCTATTTATCATTATTTATTCAGTTCAACTCCAACTAGATTTAGTGCCCTGTTCAGCTCAGCAATGCCTCAGAAAAAGGTCTAGGAAAGCCAGCTCTAACTGCTTATGACAACACTAGGGTCAGAAAGCCATCCTTTCTCTTTGCTCTGTCAGGCAACATAGTTCATAAAAAATTCTGAAGGCTTATTTCCAGCACTGCCTAACTGCCAGAGCATGCAAACGCATTAAGATCTGCAAAGTTTCCCAAGTGCCTACACTACAGCAAAGTGCCATAACCATGACACCACAGAACACAACAGGACTGGGCACACTGAACTCCTGTTCATTCCGAACAGGAAAGAGTCATCAGTCAGAGAGAAAAGAAGTGAGAAGCAGCCAGGCATGTAACCTGTTGGGACATTTACTTCGTTAGAAAGAGCAGACATGGATTCTAGTTTGGTCCTAATTCTCTAGATTATGTAAACTGTCTGAAAACTGTAGTGACTTCGCACTCTTGGTAGGTTGTTGACCCTTTGTAAGCAAGTATCTCACTGCCCTCTCCAGAAAGCGTACAGACAAAAGAAACGCCAACCGCGCTGTCCCCCACCT